TCCCAGTTTCTTTCCCTTCCTCCTTCCCACCCTCCTTTCCTTCCTTCCTTCCCTCCTCTTTCTTTGCACCCCCCCCTTCCTTTTTAGAAATATACTGACAATTTGAAGGAGAGTCTGTATACGTACGGAAGAATTAGATATATTTATCACTGTAAGTTTGTCTCAACGTGTCTGTGCTTAGCTTTCATCCTCTTATATAGCTAAGCCGTGGGTCATTATGGCTGATATCAGATTAATGAAGCAGAAAACCAAAGTGGTGATCTTTATAATTTTTTTTATTGTGCTTTAAGTGAAAGTTTACAGTTCAAGTTAGTTTCTCATACAAAAATGTATACACACATTGTTATGTGACCCTAGTTGTTCTCCCCACACTGTGACAGCACACTGCTCCTTTCCACCTCCGTTTTCTGATCTTCACAATTTAAGTAAAGAAAAACAACCTGCTGCTAAGGGGAACTACGCTTGTTAGTATCTAAACTGCCTATTTGACAGAATTTATTAGACGATTGGCCAGCTCCTACTTTTCATGTAACTTCATTGGTGAGGTAGATATAAATTATGTGATTTAAGGAGTAAACTTGCTTTTTATAATCCATGCAGAAGACAAGTAAATTGTAATCATTTCAACCACTCACTGAATTTAAAGGCAAATTATTGGTTTTTATTTATGTAGAGAAATTCTAAGTCACATAATTCAACCTATTCTTTTCTTATTAAATGTAATATGGAGTATGAGTCTTTCTAGTTTCCTTCTAATTGTCATACAATTAAATTAAAATTTGCCTTCGTTCTTTGCCAAACTGCATATGTTTATTTTCCTTTCCTTTTTAAAAACCAATTCCTCATTTCTTCCTCACCCAAGACTTTACAGTTTTAGTCTGTACAACTCATATATTCCCATGTGACATGAATTGCTTTGCTTCAAAACAAGGGATCAAACTTCCTGAAGGAAGATTCAATCAATATGTTATAGTGAATCCCTAAAGAGCAGACATGATTCTTGTATGCACAAATTTTTTTTTAAAACTAAGATTGGCTAGATGCAAAGATTTGATATTAAAAATCATAATTTGATTCTTATGAATGTTCCTTTAATGTTAGAGTTATCTTATTCTGACTCAAGTAGCTAACAAAATCATGGCATCGAACTCTTGATATAGCTCCCAAATTTCACTTACAGAAATTTAAGAGTATTCTTCTTGCCAGTATCTTGACTATAGAATTTCCTGTTTGCAAAGCTTAACAAAATCAGTTTCCTAACCTCAGGAAATACTTTGAGATTTAAAAAGCTGTATTTCCTGGTAGCATGATAAATTAACCTTTTAAATTTTAGATTAAAAATATATAGTTTTGCTTACTGTTATATTACACTTTGAAGTTTATAGTCGATATTTACCTGACTATATACTATATGAAAATAAAGGTTAAATGGTATTAAACGATGAAAATATTAAATAGAAATTTCACTACTTAGTCTAATTGTTTTAAATAAATTTTTTGAAAAAAAATCCAAAACGTACTCGCAAGACCATAACCATGAATTTTCTAAGTGATTTTGAGAACATTATAGCACTGATTTTCAATCATGTGATTTCAGTTTCTTTAATGTAACTAGCATTTCACTTTCCCTTATATATAAAGGCATTAATTCCATTGAAATACATTGGAGTTTTATTTTAAAATCCACATATAGGAACTAGGCTATACTATGTGAATAAAAAAGTTCATGTCTATCAGTATTAATTATTATAGCAATGACTACTTAGAAATGGTTAGGAATTGGATTATATGTTTCATTTAAAAATAAAAGCTTTGTTGTCCTTTTGAATACTCAGTTTGTTCTGTTTGATTCCATTTGAAACCACTGAACTCTGATCCTGAATGTGCAAAAACCTGAGTGCTCAAATTCCAAGTTCCAATCTGTGCCCTACCAAATTAAGATATTTAGTAAAATAAAAGAATGTATATGGATTTTATAAACTTAACTGGTTTTTGAGTTAGACTCTCAAATGTCTTCTATAGCTTAGTTAAGTATTCCTCCCAACTTCCCTTAAACTAGCTGAAAAACAGTAAGTTCTATTATCATTAATAAGTATTTCATCAAAGAATTAGAGAGTAGAGAGAAGATGGTTTATTATGTATAGGTAGTTTTTAACTTTCTCCTCTCTAGAAAATGAGCAGGTATTCCATGGACAGGGATAAAATACAACTCCTCTAGAAGACATAGTATGTTTATGCCAGTTCAAACTTCTGGATGGTTCATTGGCACTTAAACATACTGGTTTTACCCATGGATGTTCAATGAATTCTTTAACCTAAAAGAACACTTTCCTTCAGCTTACTTTGCACAAAAGCAAATGTACATATGCAGTCTAAAAAGAACACTAGAAAAAAATTGATAAAACTAGCAAATGTAACAATGAGGCCTTTGAGAAAAGTTGACTGCATAGATCCTGTCATAGCCCCAATGCATTTTAATTATAATCACAGTGCAGGGACCAATATTAAGTTGGTTTCTAAAAAAGTTTAAGTAACTAGCTAAAAGGATATAGTACATTTTTGAAACATTCTAACACATTGTTTAAAATGATACTGTTTAGTTCTTCAAATAATTTCTAGATTAAAAAAAAATTATCCACACTGTCTACCTTAATATTTGCAATTTAGAGAGCAAGATATATTATTAACATGGAGACATTTGAATAGATTTTGTTATTTTCAGCTGCATATAATCGTTCTTTTAAAAGGCTCTTTGAGGCCAAATTCAGTCTATTGGCTTTAAGCCTGAAGAATTTTTTTTTTAAGTTTAGTGAAAGTTCCAATGTTGTTTTACAATGATCAAAGCAGGTTTTAAAAATAGTACTTTTCATTCTTTGGGAATATACTCATATACATCTTTCCTAACAATATAAAATACATTGATTTTATTGTTGCAACCAGGAGAGTCTACATCTGGGCAGTAGTACCTTTCAATAATCACACTTCTGTGTATTTCAGTGACTTGTCAAAGACGCACATGTTCCACATTTAAACAAATAGTTAATCCTGTGACTCTTTCAAAGGGCATTGAAATAAATGTAACTATAGTAGAAAATTTCAGTTTTTTAAGCATGGGGAAACATTATGGTTAAAATTTTTGTGTGAGCTGGAAATTTACGCATCACTTGGGCCTAACTTGTGAATGTATTTAGACAGAAGAGGACAAATATTCTGTAAAAGAAAGTACTTACATATGTGCAAGAGAGTAACATGACAGCTATTATGGAAATAACCCTTTTTAATTTTCTGAGTTTTATGCCTACAAACTCACAACCACTTAATATTCCTCTTTTAAAATAACCTTTTAAACTCTATGCTAGCATTAATGTTTTCTTTTTACACACACTAAAATGAGTATGATTAGAATTATCAACTCACATTCTATACAATATTAACTATCAGTTTTATGCTAGGTCATAAGATATATGTGTAACAAACATAGTGAGCTTGGTTGTTGTTAATGTTGTTTAACATTTACACAACTCTGCCCTGTAAAATATGTCCTATGTAAATCATGCATCTTTAAAGTTTTCAACTTACATTTTACTACAAATAAGAAACATTGAGACTAGAAAGAAATCTAGAGGTGGGAAGAGAAGATGAAAATTATTAACAGGTGTTTGTTTCATAAAGACCCAGGGAGACTTTTAAATCCTTTACTGATCCCATGTTCTCACCGGTGAAGAGCTGGTCCACACGACTTTCAAAGCCTTCAGAGGAGTACTGAGCAGAGTTACTCAGTTTCTGATGCTAAATTATTCCGTTTAAATGAAGTACTCCCTGTGTATTGCTGCAAAGTTAAATGTTGACTGTATTCATTAAAAACAATTTACTTTTTTCAAATGGGTATTTATGCAAATGGAAAGAATGTTTCATGTTGAGTCTGTTTCAAATAATCGCTCCTGAAAACTAAAATACCGTGATAGTTCCTCATCCCTCCCCTCCACCCTTCAAGAACCTACATTTTTTAATTTTCTTTTAAGTTCTTTCAATAAAAAATGCCTTTCCTTCGCGTTTCTTCCTTTTAATGAATCACTCTTGTTCTCCAAACCAACTTCGTAGAAATATAAAGAAGATAAACTTTATACTGTATTTGAATCTTTACAGTTAAGAGTATCCGGAACAGTAATCCACTTCTAATAAAGATCTTGCCATTCCTAACTATATTTTACTGCGAAAACTGTCTATTTTATTAGGATTCTACTGAGTAATTAAAACTGGACACATAGATGAAGTGAGTACAGCAGCACAAAATTTGTATGTTTGCTTTTAAAAGGCATTTATTTGCAGCAGCATTAAGATTTTTTAAATAATCCTGTCAAATGTTTATGAAGTTTATTAATCCCCCCATTGCTGAAGTACAGTACGTGCACACACGATACACACACATATACACACAAAGGAAGGAATCAATTGCTGTATTCCAATAATGACAATGAAAAAAGAAAAACAAGAATTATATATTTTTACTGCCTCACTCATAAAAGGCCAGTGCTGCGGGGTTAAGCTGGTGGCAAAAACCAAACAGTTGCCTTAACACGGAGCTTCCCGCAGGTTTCGCGCTGAAGAAGGAGCAGGGAGGGCATAGTTTGCGCGGGCAAGTGGGGGCCCAGAGTCCCGACACGGTGAACTTTCCATCAAGGGGGTCTTTTAGGGAACTCTTTCGTGGAGACTGGCAGGAGTTAGTGACAGCCCAAGGTGAGCACAGAGTGGAAGAGAAAGCAGCGAGCGTCCACAAAGCGCCCGGAGCCGCCCCTCTCGCTGAGGCAAGGCGGCTCTGGGGGCCGGCGCAGAAGGAAGGGCTAGACGGAAGCGGCGGCCGGCGGCGGCCGACTGGGGTCCCAGGGCGCGGGGCAGGGAAGCCCCAGACCCGGAGGCCCGCAGCCTGCGCCACCGCCGCCGCCCCGAGCCGGGTGCGCGCGCGGCCGCATCAGCTGGGCGCGCGGCCGTGTCACGTGGTGCGCGTGTCGAAGGTCACGGCGCGCTCACAATGGAGCTCTCGGAGTATGTGCAGAAAGGCTTCCAGATGCTGGGTGATCCCGGCTGCTTCGACCCCAGCGCCTTCATGCTTCTCCTCCGGGCGGCTTTCCAGAGCCTGCTGGACGCCCAGGCGGACGAGGCCGTGTTAGGTAAGCCGCTCAGCTCTGAGCTGGATCGGCCTGGGTGGAGGGGCGCTCGGAGAAGAGGAGCGAAACCTAGAGAGAGGGGGAAAGCCCCGGGAAGAGGAAGTCTCCGGGCTTTGCCCTTCGCTCTGGACAGAGTGTGGGGCTGAGGCTCTGCCAGGACCCCACAGCGGGTCCTGGACAGTGTTATGGCCCCAGTTGCCACCTGCACATAGCCAGCTACACGTTCCTGGCCTTATTTGTCCTCTCAGTCTCTTTGTTCCTTTGTAAAGCCCGCGTTCAAGTCTTGTTTGTGGCCTAAACATCTGTTTTCAGCCTGGTCAGAAGCAGCGGCTGTTTTGACACTTGGACTTCATCAGGGGAGCTCCTTGCAATTCAAGCTTCCAGTGCTAGGCTGGCAGAGCCTTAAAAGAGTGTTTTTCCAAATAATTACTAGGTCAAATAGTGTTGACATTTTTCCAACTTAAAGAATACCTCAAGTTCCTATGATCACTCCAATACTTTAGTTAACCCTAGTTTTTACACAGGTACTACGCCTAGACTCTTAAAATTTGATACATTATGCTTAATTCCGCACCAGTTACCAGGAGGCGAAGTCTCTTAAGCCGTCGGGTCAGTGATTGCGGAGTGCAGTGTCAGTAGGGATTGAAGACACATTTTAAAAGAGGTCACTGTTAGATAATTTCCTTAAGCATAAATGGCCCACCCATTCAATTTTCTTCCCCCCGTAGTTTCGTGAACTAAACACTTGTACAAAAGGTATGAAAGTGGAAGTTGTCAAACGAAAATAGTCACCACCACCTGGTTAATCTCAAAAAAGAATGGCTGTCAAAACCTGAAAATATTGATATGATTTTCTAAATTGTGTTTGATATTCTGAACTTGTGCCCTCCCCTCTCTTAATGCATTAATGTCCATGGAAGCAGTTATGCTAAAATTTATCAACTTTTAGAGTGAAAGTTTATTCATTCTAAAATTTACACCATGTAAAATATTTGTCTCCTTTCTTTTCCTTTGAATTTACTCCATCCAGTGTTAGAATGGTGACCACTGTCTTGTTATTTTTTTCTTTGGGATTATAATATATGTATATTTTTAAGTTAAAAACATTAAGGCAAAATAACAGAAGGTAATTGAAACCAGAAAACAGCATAATTATTGATGTTCTTTTGTTTTGCAATTTATTTTCTCATGTCATTTACTTAAAATTAACAGTCCTTATATTTGAATTCTTTTTATTATCTGGTTAAAGGATTTTTTTTTTTTTACTGTAATTAAAATACCCTTTTTAGAAACATGACTGTGAAGCTTTTATTATCACAAGCATCACTGGCAATTAATTTATTTTAGATCACCCAGACTTGAAACATATCGACCCAGTAGTATTAAAACACTGTCATGCAGCAGCTGCAACCTGTATACTGGAAGCAGGAAAGCAAAGAGCTGACAAATCGACTCTGAGGTACAGGATTTATTTAAATATCCATTTATTTTCAAATAGTACCTTTATGATTCCAATTTCAGTTTTTAAAATGCATACTAATTAAACTGACTTCTCCCTCCCTCCCCCAGCACTTGTCTAGAAGATTGTAAATTTGACAGAGAGCGAATAGAACTGTTTTGTACGGAATATCAGGTTACTTAAACTTTTTTTAAGTTAACAATTACTATTTTTCTCCTATTCTGTTTGCAAAATTGTGTTTTTTTTTTTCTTTTTCTTTTTTTTCAGAATAATAAGAATTCCCTTGAAATCCTACTGGGAAGGTAGGTACTATATATATGGTGTCAAGCTGAGTCACTTTTCACTTGCAGGTATGAATGGAGAGTGCTGGTATGAAACAAAACAGGGAAAAAACAGGGGTATTGACCAAAAGAAATGGGGCCAAAGGGCGAGTGAAACAATTGAAGTTAAGCCAATGTTTTTAAAGGTAAAGTTTATTGAGATAATTTTTTAAATGCTCTTTTACTATTCAGAACTTGAAAATAAAGTTTAACGATGTTTTAATTCAGAGTGGATTCAAATCGTAGGGGTGAGGAGGTAGGCAGAGGCCATTCTTAGTAGAGATAAATAGTGGAAGGTTTTCTGTAGATATTATGCATGAAAGTATCGTTCGTATCTTTTAGTATAGGCAGATCTCTTCCACACATAACTGATGTTTCTTGGCGTTTGGAATACCAGATAAAGGTAAAGTTTAACAAACCGTTCTTTAGGGGGATTTGGGGAAAGCTTTTTTTAAACAAAGGCTGATATGTGTATGTTGTGTTTTAGACCAGTCAACTTCATAAGATGTACAGACCTGCGTATTTGGTGACCTTAAATGTAGAGGTATTTATACATACATAAGTCATGTCTAAAAATTAAATGTGTCATGAAAGCTAAAATTCTTTTGATTTAAATAAACAGAATTTTTTTTCTTCCCTAGAACACTGATTCAGGATCCCACCCAGGGATTAGTTTTAGTTGCAACATGGAACAATTACAGGTACAGTATTAGGATCTGTGAATATGTCTGTCTTTTTTATAGATGTTAGTTGAGAATTAGGCTTATGGAAAGTTCAAAAGAAAAAGTCTAACAATCTGCCAGCAGATAATGGAGACTAGCTTAAGGATTTAGTAGGAAGGAGGCTTCAAAAGCAATATTTTAACATAGACTTCACTTTGGGAACTAAGATGCTATTCATAGAGAATGGGCCTATATTTGCTGTCCCCTCCAATTAATATAAACTTCTGAAGTGTAAACTCTTCTATTCACAATAAGTTTGTTCCAGTAGGAAAAAGCAAACTTAAGAGCATGGCTTTGAAAATGTCTTCTTTGCTTTCAGAAATTGAATTAAACTTTCAAAATGGGATGTTAAAACAGTGGTTTTAAATGACTTCTTACAAAGGGAGAAGTATACATAACATTCTAATACTGTTAAAATTGCCAGTTTAAGACTAGGGAAATTCAAAACTACATTGATTAATGAATACGACAATGAATTTATTTCTTAACAGTTAAAAAAATGAAGATGATTTCTTGAAATGTTAATGACATTGAATTTTTCAAAGATATCTCTTGGAGTCGTTTTAGTGTAACCATTAATCAAACTTCTAAACTTTTAGAAAATGTGTACAGCTTAACCTTTGTTAGATAACTTGGGAAATTCTCTTTAGAAATACCTTTCCTGTTAAGAGGATTCGGTAGAAATCCTGTTTCATTCCAAGGGCAGACAGCCAATTTGAAGATATTTTAGAGAAAAAGTTCTTTAAAATATTTGACCGATAGTACTTTATTAAAGTTAAAAGACCTCGTGAATGTTAATTTCGTTTAGAAAGTGTCTCCCGACTTTTCTCGTGCATCTTTCTGAAACTTGAGTACTTCTGTGTTTTATCTGAAAAAAAAAAACGTTGTATTATGTACGTTTTGTAGGACTTAGTGGGGAAACTTAAAGATGCTTCGAAAAGCCTGGAAAGAGCAACTCAGTTGTGACTTGGGGAAGTTAACAGTCTGCTCGGGTCTAGAGAAAGACCAGAAACACCTTGCCTTCAGTCGAACCATCGTTTCTTCGAGCTGGATGTCCTCCTTTTCAGTAGAAACAATTTTCCCCTTGCATATATGCCACTCATCAATTTTGACACTTTATTTTTGCACACCTGTAAAAGGGTTAGGAAGTTCAGCTTGAGTATTTGAATCATCTTTAGTATTAACTGTACATCTATCCTATTTTGATATTTTTCAAGTTTTATGAAAGAAAGTAGCCAGTATTAAGTATTACATTATAAATAAATAAGGTATGTTCCCCCACACAAGAAAGTTATATTTTGTTTGGATTTGAGTTTGTGTGTTATTAGTGTGACTAGATACGATTCGCGTTAACTTTTGACGATCGCCATTTCTCTGGATTAAAGCGGAACACTGGTAAAGGATGCGATCTATGGGGTTTGTTGAAGACCCCAGCTTCGGGGTGCGGGGAGCGGGCGCGGTGGCCCCGCGGCGGGAGCGGACCGGGCCCGTTTACCTGCACGGGAGGGCTCGCCCGCAGCCCGACCTGCGGCCGCAGGGCTTCCG